GATACTTACTTCATGATACCTTATTCGCTGTCCGTCTGTGTCTGTCTGTCTGTCTGGTTCTCTCTCCCTCCTCTCTCTTTTCTCTTTCTTTTCTAATATTTCTTACTTATATTTGTTATATATATTACATACTTATATTACTTATTTACCTACTTATATTATATACTTATATATATACTTATTATATACTTATATTATATACTTATATTATATACTTATATTATATACTTATATTATATACTTACTTATATTATATTATTTACAGATATATAGAGAAGAACGCGAGAGCGTCGTGTTGTATTGTATTGTGTTGTATTGTATTGTTTTATTAGAGAGAAAGATAGAGAGAAAGATAGAGAGAAAGATAGAGAGGGAGGGAGGGAGGGAGGTAGAGAGATAGAGAGAAAGATAGGGAGGTAGATGGGAAGGGAGATTAGTAGATATTCAGTATTCAGTATTCAATACTCAGGTTAGGTCAGTTCAGTTCAGTTCAGTTCAGATCAGGGCGGTTTGGTTCGGTTCGATTTGATTCGATTCGGTCTGGGTTTGGTTCGATCGGTTTTCGCCCTTCTTCGTTCAGCTTGGTTTAGATTCAGGTTCATTTATATTGGTTCATTTATATTTATATTTATTCAGGTATAGGTTCAGGTTTAGATTAAGATCCAGGTTTAGGTTCATTTAATGTTAGGTAGGTAGGTCGTCAGGGAAAGGATGTTGGGGATGGATTTGGGGATGGATTTGGGAATGGATTTAGGGATGGATTTGGGGATTGCGTGGGGTATTGTGAGGTTTGTATTGATGTGTTGATGTGAATGTATGGGTTTGTTGTAAATATATAGATAATTTTGAATATATAGCTTGAGAATTCGCCAGGTGATATAGATACTTGAGAATGTATATATCTGGAGATTGGGGATTGTGAATGTACCTAGTATTGCTTGAGAGATGGGTATTTTGAGAAGAATTGAATAGATAGATCAATGGATAGGGATTGGAATTAAAGGGATTGTTTATATTAGGGGAGGGGGGATTTACTTGCTTGGTTGTGGATTATGGAATATGGAATATGGATTATAAGATTATGTCTCTAGGGATGTATGTAGGTAGGTAGGTAGGTAATGTGTATGTATATATTTCTATTTGGGAGGAAGGATTCATGAGGGAGGATTCACAAGGGAAAATTTATGAAGGAGAGCGATGAGATATAAATGTTCGTGAGATTTTGTTATGGCTACCTAGTGTAGCTATTTAGATGGTGAGTATTTTGTTAGGTATGAGGTATGTAGGTTTGTACGTATGTACGAAATTGAATTGATGTGAATTGGAATAAATGTTTTTTTTTTGGATCGGGGAAATGGACTGAGTTGGTTAGTTAGTTGGTTGTGGGATTTGGGTATATGATGAAGCATAGGGGTTTGTGGAAGTGGGAGGTAGATGGATAGATACTTGATAGATAGATAGAAAATAAAGTGTAGAGAAGAAAGGGAAGGGAAGTTGGCAGTAAAAAAACCGAAATGAGAGAATGATTGGATAATAGGCGATGTGGGGCAGGGAGAGGGGAAAGGGAGGCGAGAGTTTAGAGATTGGGATTGGGATTGGGAGTGGGAATTGAGATTAGATTGTGAATGATTGGATTAGATTGGGATTGTAGATGTGAGTTGGGGGCGTGATTGTGGATGCCAGGCGATTGGATTGGATTTTTTTTTGGGGGGGGGGGCGGATTGAGAATTTAAGTGTGAGTGTGAGTGTGAGTGTGAGTGTGAGTGTGAGTGTGAGTGTGAGTGTGAGTGTGAGTGTGAGTGTGAGTGTGAGTGTGAGTGTGAGTGTGAGTGTGAGTGTGAGTGTGAGTTAGAGGTGTGATAGGGATTTGTAGGATTGTGATGTTGATGTTGAGTCTCTAGGTGGGGCGGGTGGTCTTGAGATGAGCGGGTGATTATGGTAGATTTGAATTTGAATTTGGATGGGATAGGGATAGGGGGGTATTGAGATAGATGTATTGAAGCTTGAGTTGAGTTGCTTGTGGTCATGTGGTGTTTTGTGTAAGGTATCTGTTTTGTGGTGAGGCATATGAATAGATAGGTTGATGTAGATAGGTATGTGAATAGATCAAATAGGATAGAGTGGAATAAAAGATTATTTTTAGATATATGCATGCATCATACCCTGGTGGTTAAGGGAGAGAGAAAGAGAGAGAGATTCATTTTTCGGGGGAGTTGGTAGTTGATAGGTGATAGGTGAGGGTTGGTTTAGGGTGTGTGTGATTGGGTAGGACGGGAAGTGAATAGACGGGTGAGTAGGAGAATAGGTGAATGGGTTGGGGAGATCTATTTTGGATTTCCTATTTTGGGTGGTGTGTGGATTCACTGGGTTGAGGAGAGGGAGGGAGAGGGGGAGAAGGTGGGTACAGAATGTCAAAAGGGAGACAATTGGAGTAAGAAGGCGGAGGAGCGGGATGATTGGGAAATGGAGAAAGAATAGGAGATGTGAAATACAGAAGGGAAAAATCAGAGAAATACGAAAGAAATTTCATGTAAGTTGAGAGGTGAAGAGGATCATGCGCTTTGAACTGAGGGATGGCATAGGTAGGTATGGAAACTGGTTATTTTTTCTCAAATTATTCTCATACCTTGTCCTTATTTGAAAATTCCTCACGTCAAAGGTATACTATCCATAGTGACTGAATAGACTTGATGGAGTTAACAGTGGGGGTATATGTAGATGAGAGATAGGTATATTTATTTAATCACTTGTTCGTGGCTGGATGATAGAGTTCAGCTGAATACTAGGTCTATCTAGGAAGAGTGAGGGGATAAGGATGAGAATGAGAAATATATGAGATTGTGAAAGAAACATCAGATACGGTGTGTGATTATGAGGGTTGAGATTCTCCTGGGATGGTGTTTGAGAAGTTCAGTAATGTCAAGAGAATTATTTAGTGGTAATGAGGAGTTGATACTAGGTATCCATGAAGTTTAGCGGGAATGGAGAAGTTTACCACAAGATTATATTGACTCTGTGATATAGTATTCATTTTTGTATATCGATTGAATTTTGAGTTTGGGAAGTAAATAAGAGTCTGCTTTTCTGGGCAGTTGATTGTTTATTTTGGATAGTTGGGAAAGTAGGTGTTTCTCGAAAGTAATTGTTCCTCTCCTTTCCTTGAGTAGGTAATAAGTAGTGGGTTTTTATTTTTCATGGTAATTGTGCCTCGTGGAAAGTTGAGTATTCAGAGACCGATAATCTCTCTTGTATTCGATAATATAGACTTCCACTTCGGCTATTCGTATCATCAAAGTTTTAATGCTCTGCCTGAGTGATAGGGACAATAAATCGATTCTGATGTTGATCATCCGGTAGATAACGGGCAGTATCAGGAATAATCCGACTCTCCTCAATTTCCTGGTTAGCATCGTTCTACAACTTCCGTTCTCGACTTGCGTCATTTTTTGAACCTCTATCGCCAGAAGATTGCTCTTGGAAATGACTTTGTTCTGAATCTTGAGGAGGAGATTTTTGGACGTGCTTCTCTATTGTAGGAGCTTTTCCTTTGTCTTTGCGAGTGGTGAATTTGAGAGAAGGGGAAGGAGGAGGTTCTGTGAAAATGAGGGAGAGGGAGAGGGAGAGGGAGAGGGAGAGAGTGCCTGGATGGGTGCGGGGTGATTGGAGAATAAAAAAGGGCGGGAGGTGTGGAAAAGGGAGGGAAAATGAGGGAAGGAGGAAAAGGGAAAGAACACTTGAATGTGTACGGTATGGAAATTTGATTAGAGGATGGGACAGGGAAGAGAAAAGGGAAGAGGAATGAGAATGGGAATGAGAAGAAAGGGAAATCTATTTAGAAATAGGAGGTAAGTGTGTCATGCAATTCATGGTGAGGGAATGGATGAGTATACAATCATTACCTCTCCCTACCTACCTAGATGCCTCAATTCAAATTTATGTAATACAACACAAGGAGTTTGAGGTATTATCATTTCTCGTTTCTCATTTCTAACATTATCCTGAAAAGATCTAGAAAGGCTTTCATAGTCAATGAGCGTATATGGTTTTAAAGTTAGTTCATCATATAATGGTAGGATATAGATGATTTTGAAGAACAATCTTATATCTAAGAGACTTTTTTAGTACAATGTCCTAACTCTTTCGGAAGATTATCGATATTGGTATTTCATGTTATGTAATATAAAATGATATTGCCATTTGAGGAGACAATTCCTAATAATACTAACTCAAAGAAACGAGAATAAACCTCTTCAGGTCAATTCATTCATGACCTTTCGTTCTTGGTTCTCTTTTCCCCCTGCTTTTAAGTAAATATCTTTTTAATTCAATCAAACCTCCGATCACTAGATTTATTTTGCTTAGAAGGTAGTGTTATTAATAACTCATCCACTACACGTGATGAACGATTGACTATGTTGCTTTGATTCTAATCATTCGTACCTTGCCTCAGAACTGGCGAGAAATGACAAAAACAACACACGGCATCATTTCTTTTCCTTCACTTTTCCCCCTCTTACTCTTTCTTTATGATTCCGATGTCTGCCGTGCTGAAGCTTGAAAATCATGGATGAAGAAATCATCAGAAGACATTGCTACTCATTCTTCAAATAAAAACTCAGGATATGGTTCGGCAAAGTACATGGATACCTGAACCTTGGAAGTGACTACATTACTGATAGAGAATCGCTCATATGATTTGTATGTAACGAAGCAATCATGTCGAAACACACCGATCAGAGTCTAAGCCACTTTGCATTATCCTCCAGGGCTTGCATTACTGGATAATGTCCCCTGTACGGTAGGTAGTATCATGAGGCTTAGCAGCACTCTGGCAGACTCACCTATCTGACGCAGCACATTCGGTGAAACCTGGCAAGGCTATCAAATGAATGTGTTGGCAATTCATATATTTTGTTCTTCACATTCAAGTTCCCAGGAAAGTTTCCTGGGAACATGAGGTCTCTTGGTTTTATATACACTCATTCAAGCAACGATTAATTATGGACCCTGTGAGCGCCATATCGCTTGCAGCGGCAATTGCTCAATTTATCGACTATTCTTGCAAGATTGTGTGCAAAAGCAAAGAAATATACAATTCCACCAGCGGTCTCACTACAGAACATAATAGAACCGAAACAGCCACCCTGCGGCTTAAAGAACTGACACAGTCAATACATTTGCCACCAAAAAGAACCAATTCTGGATCCAGCATCGTTTACTCCAGACTTCAAATAATCACTCAAGAATGCATGATTGTATCTGATACCCTTGTCAATCGGCTCAATCAATTGAAAGCACCTACCCAATCACAGCATCCAAAATGGAAAAGCTTTCGAATGGCATTGAAGAGTGTATGGTCGAAACATGAGATTGATGAATTTGCTCTAAGATTGAGAGATCTCAGAAAAGAACTCGACACTGAGTTGCTTCTGCTATTGCGGTCAGTACCTATTTTGTCCTCAAGATGTAACCGAACGATAAATTGATTGTGTCTCTAGAGATGGTTCAGATTCAATGTCATCTGCAGCAGAGAACCATTTCCAAAAATTGGACGAAAATACGAAGAGAGTTTTGATTGAGCTTCTCAAGATGCAATCGTCAGATCAAGACTTTCTTCGTCGCTTTGAACGACTGAGTCTTTCTCAGCAATTGGAGTTTCAAAAGCTTGGCCTATTGACCGCTAAGCAGAATTATAGCTTTGAATCTTTAAATAAAGACACCAAGAATATCATCGACTTGTTACTTGAATCAAGAGTCTACTGCAACGAGAACTTGGTCCTATCTCGAAAATTAGTGGAACAGAACCGCCAGGCTGGCTTTGAGCTAGTGGAGCGTGATAATAGACAGCGAGTTCGACGGGCTCAAAAGGTCCGACTCGCTATCTTAGAGTCCCTTCGATTTTCAGACATGAATCATCGACCAGATATGATAGCTAGTCCATATCAAAGCAGCTTTGAGTGGATCTTCAGAGATCCTCCTGTTCATCAAAAACCATGGAGCAATTTCGCAACTTGGCTCTCTGAAAGTTCGGGTATCTATTGGATACAGGGAAAACCAGCAAGTGGCAAGTCGACTTTAATGCGTAACATATATGAGCACCCGGAAACCGCAATCTTGTTGAAGAAATGGGCAGGATCCTCCAAAATAATAATGAGTGCATTTTATTTTTGGATAAGTGGGACAGAAAGACAACGATCTCACATCGGACTCCTACGCACACTTCTATATGTCTTCTCCGACAACACCAGGATCAATTCTAGAGATATCCACGATGATGGTGCGAATGTCGACATAGAAACACATGATCTACAATTTCCACAATTGATGAATGGTCTCTAGGCCGCTTACAGCAAGCGTTCAGACAGGCTTTGTCGCATATGTCCAGCCCTTCACTCAAAGGTCGCATCTTTGTGGATGGCTTAGACGAGTACGAAGGAGCTATGGTGATATGGCAGAGTACTTATTCGACATCGCCAACGAATCCCTCTTCGCAAAGTTTTGCTTTTCGAGCAGGCCATTACCGGACTTTCTCGTCCAGTGTTTCAAGATGCATGCACATTAAAGCTAGAAGATCTCACTCGTGATGACATTAAGAATTATGTTGTTGCTAAGTTGGAGCAAAATCAACAGATGCGAAAGTTCACAAGTAATGATTTGGATACAACAAGTTGGCTAATTGAAGAAATCATTCACCGAGCACAAGGTGTCTTTCTCTGGGTTATTCTCGTCGTCAAATCGCTCATCCATGGGTTCCGGTGTGGAGATGGTGCGATTGAACTTCGGAAACGACTTGAAAGCCTGCCAGTAGATCTTGAGAATTTATTCTCTCATATCATCCAAAAGATAGAACCGGAGTTTCGTGAAGATGCATCGAAGATTTTTCAAATATTTAGAGCAAGTGGCAATGATTTGGACGCGATCACTCTACATAATGCATTACAATTCACCTCACACCATCCCATAATAGCTATGGAGGCTGCAACAGAAAGTGAGTCCATGGACGAAAGGCTCGTGAAAACGAATAAAACAAGGCTGCGCCTGCCAGAGTAGATGCCGTGGGACTCATTGAGATAGCGGACCAGCATGACGGCGAAATGATAACACGCAATATTCAAATGATATGTTCAAAGAGTGGCGTGGGAGCAACAAACCGAAATTCGACCGCATACGATTCCCGACCGTAAATATTGTTGAGGAGTTTAGGAAACACATCCAATTTCGGCAACAAACTTTTTCCCAGCCTCCTGGCGGAACTTTGGCAAGCAAACCAAGAGCAGCGAGGCAGCTGGCGAGTGGAATGAGAGACCCAAGGATAGATGTTGCCGGTGACCTGATTTCTGGATCAACAAAGACAGACCTAACTATGCAGGTACCATGGTGGTTAGAATCGAGAAGACGGAATATAACAAGATATTCCTATGGTACAATACGCAGAAATGATATAGGTACACCATCTATTGATGAGATGCCGAAGCTGCTTGGTTCCATTAGAAGTGGCGTCTGTCGAGACTTCGTCGAGACATATACTAGGGCGAGATGCTACATGCAGAAAATTAAATATCGTGTTGATGTGGAGCATTTCGAAGAGGAATTCAAAGCTAAGACGATAACATTGGAAGATATTATACATCCCTATGCACTATGGCTGCATGCGCAATGGGGAGGAGATCTCTCAGCCTGGTACCATACTATCCGCACCGGAGAGCCCTCTTCGGTACAAGACTTACAAGATCCTGGAGCACAAGGAAGAGTAGTCTATCTCCACCGCACGGCGAGGGATTTTTTAGAACAATCCAGGAACTGGGACGAGATCACAAAACATATAATTGATACCACATTCGACCCCGAGCTAGCGTTATTGATGGCCCGTGTAATTGATATCAAGCTCAATCCTAAAGATTGTGTATACACAAGTGGGATCGAATTTTTGACTCAACTTCGTGAATTCCCTTGGCAGAATTCTAAGGTTATGGACGAAGCTCTCGAACTGATACAAGAAGCTGACAGAGTTTTGAGCATTAGAGTAGGCCAAGGAGAAGTCTCCAAACACTGGTCACATAACGATCCAAAATGGGCAGGGAAAAGCCGACCTGACTGGGGCGATGATCTTGATTCTGTTGCTGTCAAATCTGGTCTCATACCGCTTCTCAAAGCTCGACAAAGCTTGACATCCGCCGCGCGTCATGCAAGTCAATCTCAATTACCTTTACCATACATATCAGTCAAAACCCGGCCAGGGATGCCTCTTTTAGCTTACGCACTGTCTATGGATCAATGGGCAGTTGGTAATCTAGTTCCCAACATTGTCGTGCTTGAGGAGCTACTCATTAATGGCGCTGACCCGAATGAGTATTTCAATAGCTTTCATACAATCTGGGAGTATGTCATTTATCTGGTTCACGTTCTTGTGTCTAAGAGCAATTCGAAGATCTCACCACTCTCCACGAAATGGGTTGAAGTTTTTGAACTGATGCTTAAGCACGGCGCCGACCCGTATGCTTGTTGTATGAAGAGCCCTGATGAGTTCGCTAGATTTATTGGAGGGTCAAATACGATGTTGAATCTACCCGGATCGATAGCGGAGCATGATCAAAGGGGGTTTTCTTTCGGCCACGCTATGAAGAGGGGTTACGACGATGAAGTGTGGGATGAAAACGATACATACCCATATCACCATTGCGTAACGGCCGTTGTAAAAGATGCATTCGAGCTCTTTCTGTCCTGTTCTGTCCTGTTATATATGTGAGAGTAAGGTAGAACTTCTAATTCTACCTTCTAATCTTTTGGGTGTTTAGCTTAGCGATAAAGTTTTTGAATACTCCCAGAGGTGATCCTGTAACATTAGGTAGAATTATCTTTGGTTATAAGTGGAGTTGTGTGGGGGGCTCATTTATAGCTTACAAGCCTTCATTGGTTTGGGGGCTAGCATATATAGATTCTGTTTGCCTATCTAAATACCTGAGGTATTAGAATCCAGAATCCTGAAACCTTTTAGTAGGTAATATATGGAGATTATATTTTAAGGAGGGGGGGTGGTGTTATGGGGTAACACTAAGCCCTTTCTATTCTATCCTATCCTGCTATATATGTGAGAGTAAGGTAGAACTTTCAGTTCTACCTCCTAGTCTTTTGGGCGTTTAGCTCAGCGGTAAAGCTTCTGAATACTCCCAGAGGTGATCCCGTGACAAATCTATTACATTCTTTTCTAAAAAACATTCAATAATTGAATATAATTACAAGATTTACAATAAAGAATTGTTAGCTATTATCCATTACTTTGAAGAATAGCGTTTCGAATTAAAAAGCGTTATATTATCAATTCAAATTATTACTAATTATAAAAATCTGGAATACTTTATTATAACAAAGTTATTAAATTATTATCAAATCCACTAATTTGAATTTCTATTTCAATTTAATTTTCAAATCATTTATTATTCCAAAAAGCTAAATACTAAACTTAATATACTAACTAAAAGATTAAAAGATCTTTTTAAAAAAAGAAATAAACATTTTTTGTATTAAAACTATATTATTTTGAAACAAGAGAATCTGTCACGGATCGCACCCAATCGCAGCTGCGATCGCTCACGTACACGCTTGCGCACATACACGATCACATGTACATAGTTAGTATATAGAAGCGCTCTACAAGCGCTTTACTCCCGATTCTGTAATTATAGATTCTAAGGATAAATTGTATCCTGCTCTTGCAGTTCTTTTAAGGCAAAGTGTTATATTATCTACAACTCACTATATAATCGCATGGCCATCTGGTGGTCAATCAAATAATATCTTATAATTATAATACCTTCTTGGGTATATCGAGGATGTTCGATATTACTTATAGGAAGAGGGCTGATTTCGAGTAAATCTACTCGATGGAAGATAATAAACCCTTAATATATAAAGTTACAAGTATTACTATCATGTCCGATCTATTTACCTTAAAGGGATTCTATTGCTTTTTCCCTCTCGCTGGTCGAGTGCTTTTAGCTAATGATAGTCAATCTCAATGAAGCGATGGTTACAGTCCTTACAGTTCTAATATAAATACTGATAGACGTGGAAAGGGTAAACAGCCTGGAAACGACTTCTCGATTGAGGCATTAACTCTTGAGGGTAGCATGCCGATGTACACTCTCCCATTATAGGAAGAACAAATACCGACCCTTAAAGATTTTAAGGATTTGCGGAATGAAATTGCAAGATTTAAAGACGAATTGTTATAGTATAGTCTTAGTACCACTTACCTATCTCAACCTTCAAGATACTGATAGCAATATCATACAGATTCCCTTGCGAATCGCGGAGTCCGGATTCCTGATGTTCTAGTCGATTTTATTGAGAGGGTATCTCCTATTACGGGAAAAGGAAGAATAAGAAAAACCCCTGTTTGCAAATCAGTCTTCGCAACATCCTTTTCGAGTATCGATAGCAAAACCCTCTCTCAAACCCGGTCGCCCTGTTTGAGCGATCTACAAATTCATTGAATACTCTACTCTCGTTTTACCTTATCATTGTAGTAAAGCGTCTGTACATTCCGAAACCTATCAATCTTTTATCCAAAACTCAAAGATGGTTATAAAGCCGAAAACAAGCCTCTGGCAGCTATTGGTTATTGAGCAACTCGAACTTTACGAAAATTCGCTTATCTCGGAAGTGTAACGGCGATTTTATATAATAGATTAGATGGAAGGAGATGTACAAGAATATGTGTTCTTGTTATACACTCAAGTCCCCGTTTGACAGGACAGCAATTGATCGATCAGCTCGCAGCCATTTACAAGAACCCGGCTGAAGCCGATCACGCACAAACTGAGTACGAATATTGGGTTATACCTAATAACACCTAACGAGGAAACTTCCTAGTATGGTATTGCAGGTTTAGATTATTAGCTACTATAGGCGGAAATTACCGATTCGATAACTCTTCTTTGCGATCTGGAAAGAAAAATATTCGATTTCCTCCAATGAGCTATTGGCCTCCACATTAACGAATGCTATACTATTAAGGATCTGGTTACCAAGCTTATTGAGATCAACAAACTCGAAGTTACACTTCGAAAAACAACAATCATCACAGAACGACTAAAGAGACACCTCTTAGAAAGCCATCTAGTAACACCGATTCGTCGACTACCCTAGAAGCACTCTCCGCTCATCGGATAATTCGAATCCATCTACTCAGTTTCACACTAATATCCTCCTCGCACTCCTACTAACTATACAAAAACCTTCAAGCCAAATAACATTTTATCTCCAGGAAACAATTTCAATTGTAATACTACCGCCCCCACATCGAGAGTGAATCCCAGTTTATACCATACACAAATAATGTAAGCGTTATAGCCGAGATCCAAAGATTGGAGAAGACGAAGAGTTCTACAATATAGAAGAGAATGCTGAAGAGGATGTAAAACCAAGAAATGCAAGCGGAAGCTGTCGAATCCATTCGCATTGCTGAAGATCAATATTTAAATCAACACACTTAGGTAGAAGTTCCCTCCTAAACGCAATCCAGAACATGAGATTCCTCGATTTAACAAAACTAATGGAAGATAATTCCATGAATCTACCATATACACTTTTGAAGAACGGATATTCATACAATATTCAATTTCTTATAGATTCTGGAGTGAATGGCTTTGTTTTTATTGATAAAACACTCCTTTTATTATTATTCCCTATATTCAAACCCCGTTTCATATTATTCGAATTACCGATTGAAGTCAAAAGCTATAATGGTATACAAAGTGAAGCTATTACTCATTTTACATTTCTTAATTTCACAATTGATGCTCGACAATAGTCTTATTTGCCATTTCTCATCACCGATTTGGGTTCACATAGTGTAATCCTAGATCGCAAATGGTTAACAGAAACCCAAATTAAAGTCAATTATTTTAACCGACACCTCGAATAGCCTCCCAAACATCCTCCTACTGTTTCCTTATCAAAAAATATACTTTTAACCAGAAACAATCTTCAATAACCCAGAATCAGTTATTTGAAACAAAAAGATACTGATAATCGGAACACCTGATTGGAAGAGATATACCACCAACTTGACAATAAACAATCAACTATAACATCGATCATATCTGAGATACTTATTACCCCTCCTCAAGAGATTAATACAGTAATCTCAGATGCGATCGAAGCTTAGATTCCAGTCAATCTGAAGAAGAAACTTATTCTCGGTCAAATCTTTATTCAGTTTGTTTACAAATCCCTCCCGCTTCGTATCTCCAACACGTTCAACATCTATACACTCAAGCCGATTCAATTTCAACTCATCTACAAGAAAAGCAAGGATTATAAGATCTTTACAATCACATATACAAAGATTGACAATATCATCTCGATTTACAAATCTAGTTAAGATAACAACCATCAAATCTCAATTGCAATTGTTGCCTTAAACAGTTTTAACCAGAAACTATCACTACTCTCAATCGCATCATTGCAGACATCGAGATAAAACCTCCGATCCCCAAAGCTTACCAGCAATATCATCGAGCGTTTTTAAGTACAAATCCAACATCCTACCTCTCTCCCGGTTGTACAATCACAAAATCATACTTGAAGGAAAAGGTGAAAAAACTTTCAAATACAGTTTCTTGTATAAGATATTACTCGAACAGCTTGAGATTGTTAAAGAATACATCACAGAGAACCTTGCCAAAGATTTATAGAATCCAGCCAAACACCATTGCAACACCGATTCTCTTCGTAAAAAAGCCGAATAGAAACTTAAGATTCTGTATAGACTTCCAACTACTTAATTCTTTAATACACAAAAATAGATACCCTCTACCTCTCATTAACAAAACACTCGCACAACTCGCTGATACAAAGGTGTATACCAAATTAAACATTCGACAAACATTCCATCACATCCGCATGGATCCAGCTTCCGAAGAATACACTACCTTCCACACTCGATATAATTCCTACAAATACAAAGTTTTACCTTTTGAACTGACAAACAGCCCTACAACTTATCAACAATATATAAACGATATCCTATTTGACTATTTAAATAACTTCTATACTACTTACCTCGATGATATCTTATATATTCTGAAAACGAAAATAAACACAAAAAACACATCAAGCGCATCCTCGAACAACTTAAGTCCACTGGTCTCCAGGCAGACCTCAAGAAGTGTGAATTCAACATCAAATATACAAAGTATTTAGGTTTTATCATCTCTACAGACAGCATACAAGTCGATCCAGAAAAGATTGAAGTGATCGCTACTTGGACTTACCCCACTACCGTAAAAGGTGTCCAATCGTTCTTAGGTTTTTGTAACTTTTACCGCCGATTCATTAAGGATTACAGTATAATAGCAAAACCTCTTCATAAACTCATAAAAGCGAATATCAAATTCCACTTCGACGAAATCTGTCAAATTGCATTTGATATACTCAAAAATAGATTCATCTCCACTCCTCTCCTACAGCATTACAACTATACATTACCCTGTATACTGGAAACCGATATATCTGATAGTATAGTCACTAGCATGCTATCTCAAAAGCACGGCAACAAATAATTACCAATTGCCTACTTTTCGAAAACGATAATCGCCGCCAAGCTGAACTACAAAGTTCATGATAAAGAAATACTTGCGATCATCAAATCCCTAGGTTACTGGAAAGCCGAACTTGCTGGATCCCTGTACTAGATCAAAGTGTACACCAATCATAAAGCGCTCGAGTACTTTATATCTATCA